AGCCCTTGGCAGGCTGGCGGTCGTTAGTGCGCTGTGACTGACTTGGCTGGGTCTGGGCCCAGTGCCTAGCAGACAGCCAAAGGGCTGCCAGTGGGAGTGGCCCTTAGTGGCAGAGAGGGGTCGGGGCTGTTGGCGTGGGAACAAGCTCCACCCCACATGCTACCCTGGCACTGCCCAGGATGTGGGTACGCCCAGGTCTTCAGGGCTGTAAATCCAGCATCTTTCCCAGCCCTAATGTAGCACCAGATATTCCCATCGGTGCAGGCTCAGAGGGAGGGGCCCCAGTTGTGTGTGTCTGGCACCTTGCTCACTGCTGTGGCTGAACACTCATTCTGAAAAAGAGTGAATATGTTCCTGGCCTGCCTGACGTTGCATGCATTTCAGGCCCTGTGAAACCCTGGAGTTCATGGGTCTTGTTCTCTCAGCACCCCCCTCCCACACAGCTGGCTCAGCGCAAATTAACCCGCGGGTATGTAAACAGGCCAGGCCTTTGGTTGGGACATCTGTCAGGAGGGCAAATGGAGCCTCTTCCTGCAGTTCAGCTACCAGAAAGAGGTGACTGGCCACGCGCTCCGTACAGAGGGCTGGGTCCGCGAGAAACTCTTCTATCCAAGAACGGCCATGTCCCGTGGCATCCCTAGGAAGGAGACCTGAAGGTGGAATCTGTGGCACTTAGGCTGGGAAGGCAACAGCAGCACATCTCCTACCTCATCACCAGATGCAGGTGTCACAAACCAAACACACCAGTTCTGTCCAAACAACCTTGCTGCTCTTTCTGGATATCCTTCCCAGCAGCTGGTGCCCAGCATCAGGAAACGGCTCAGCCCACTCCTGTTCCTCCCATACTCCTCTGCCTCTTCTGAGCTGTCCCTCTTCCCTCTGGAGACCAGTCTCTGTCCTGTCAGATCCTCTCTCTCCCCGCCAACCTAGCTGTCTCCCAGTTCAAGCCCCACTTCTCAGCCAGCACCCATCAGTCGCTGGCAATTGCCTGTACCAACGTGAATCCCAAAGCAGGGAGCAGCCTTGTTCGTGTCCCCAAGTCTTAGCTGAATTGACTGACTGCCAGAGCATCAGCTAAGACATGGAGTTCCCTATGGGACTGCCCTGTGACACCTGGCCAGTCGCGCTGACAGCTACTGCTGAGAGACAGATTTTCCCCTGCCTGTGGGTGGGAAGGGCCTCGTTCAGAGCCAGAGCCTCTCTCCTGGGCATGCTGACTGAATCTGTCACCTTGATGGAGTGTCTCTGGGTTGCTGGCTGCCATGTGGGGATCACCAAACACAGCGAGCGCCTTGAGCCTGGGACTGGGTTAGCATTGCTGCTTCGAAACAAGCTTCTGCTCGTGGTTTGCAGCATCCTCAGTGAGCACCCAAAGGAGAGACGTTCACGAACTCGAGCGCTCTCGTGCCAAAGGGGGGAGGGCCTATTACAGTAACGCCTTGCTCTTATCTAGCTCTTGTTTCCATCTGTAAGTCTCCAAGTGCTTTTCAAAGGAAGGTCAGGAGCATTGTCCCCATTTTACACCTAGGGAAACTGAGGCATAGAGCAGGGACGTGACTCACTCAAGTTCACGCAGTATCAGGGCTCTCTAAGCTGAGCGCTTGGACAGCCACCCAGGAGAGATTCAGATGCTGCCCAGCTGACTGGCCACCAGCAGCATGTGTTTCTATTGGTGGTGTACATCTGCACATGCCACAGTGTGCATAACAAAATTCATTCCATACATGGCTGGAAGAAATTAGAGGGAACAGTGCCCCATGTGTTAATGGCAGAGCCAGGAGTAGAATTCAGAGCTGAGCGCTAGCCTTGTGCTCTATCCACTAGGCATCACTGCCACCCCTGATGTCAGGCACCTTGGCTAACTATTTGGGGAGGGCTACTGAGGGAATATTCCCCATAAAGTCAGCAGGCTTCGAAATGCAGCAGGACCCCCATGCAACTCTGTCCAGGCCCGGTCCTGGGGGCAAACTCCCATGGGCACTAGCAGTTGAACTTTGTGCCTCAGCGAGTATCTGCCCCTCTCTGAATAAACCTGGTGGCAGTTGTAAATCCATTGACTGGCAAGAAGGAAATGGGACAACTAAATATAGAAATGTGATGAAAATATTCCTTGCAGGTGCCCTGCGGCAGCAGAACTCTCTCGCATGCTGTGTGTCCAGGGGGCAGAGAGGCCTCCCTCTCCTCCCCCTGCTGAGCGCTGGGCTGTGGCGGGTGGCCGCTGGGATTTCTCACCACTGAAGCCAGGAAACACTGAGTTTCAGGCCTCACTCTGTCATGCCCGGGCAACACAGCTGGGATCAGCTGTCCCTGATCTCCCGTATCACTAAGGCCACCAGAGGCACTGGGCCTGGGATTTCAAGGGCCCCCTGCGGTGCAGCCTTACAAGGCCGAAGGAGACGGGCAGGGCCTCACTGTGCTGCCGTGTAATGAAAGGGTCTGTCTGTATCGTGGGTTACAAGATTCTGATCTCATCCACCCTGGAGACTCTGGCCTACTGGGCAGGTCTGTGGGAGTGTGGCGACCCAAGTACCAAGGAAGTGAAATCTGCCTTAACTTGATTCCTAGACTATTTAAAGCTCCTGGGCTTTGTGGACACCTCTTCGACTGAGTCCTAGGGGAGAAAAGAAACCTCTTCATCAAAGCTCAGCAGCCGTGGCTCTTGAGATGCCTGGATAGTAAGGCCAACAGGGACGTTAGATCATCTCGTGTGGCCCCCTGTGTAACACAGGCCAGGGGGTGTCATCCAGTTCCCTTCAGACTGAGCTCAGTACATTTCTGGAAGATGCTTTAGTCAGACACAAAGTCCTTCAGTTCTGACCTGAAGCCATCAAGAGGTGGGACATCCGCCATGGCCCTTGGGAGTTTGTCCAGTGGCTCACCCCGCTCAGATCCCCAAATGGAGATGATGAACCCACAGCTCATGGGCCAGATCTGGCCCCCAGCTTGCCTTGATCCAGCCTGCGAGGTTCAGGGCCGGGGCCATTCCGAGGGAGGCATGGGGCCTGGGGCAATCCTCCCCCCTCCCTCCCCCACCGTGCCTTAGGCCCAGGGCAAACCCTCCCTGAGCAATGTGGTCTGGGGGTAGGGTTACCAGGTGTCCGGTTTTGAACTGGACAGTCCAGTATTTAGCTTTCTGTTTGGGAAACCAGTTGAGAAAATAGAACTGTCCGGTATGTTCTAACTAAGATGGCATGTCGATTGTGATGTCATGGCAAGTGTGTTCGGTATTTTTGTTGAAACTATCTGGCAACCCTACCTGGGGGATTACTGGGGCCTGGCGTAAGGCAGCAGCAGGGGTGGCCCCATCTCCCCTTGCACTCACTGCGCAAGTGCCAGGAGCCTGTTCCACTGCGCCCTGCTTCTCCACGGTTGCTTTGCTTCTCATTTGTGTGTGGCCCCACACTGAGTCTTCGGTGGGTCTGTGGCCCCCAACCCCAACAAGCTTCTCCACCCCCATTTTAAAATAAAATGGCACCTCCTTTCTCACTTAAGTGTGTCTGGCTTCAGCTTCCAGCTGCAGGCTCATGTCCTGTCTTACTCCACTTGCTGGTCAGTTAGCTGGGGCCTCCCGCAGAAGCAGCCTCGCCTCACATTGAAATACACGTCCTGCCCTTTTAAAAACAGTACTTAAGACAAACAAATAAAACTGCCCCTTTCAGACCATTTCTGTCCATCTCAGAGAAGCCAAAAGGGGCACAACCCGAGTGCTTTCCCTTTCGCCCGTAGGATACTGTTACCTTCCGATCTCATCGTAAGGTGCGGGAGGGTCTCACATGGATTATTGTTTCCACCTGGCATGTCAGTGCCCTGGACATGACCAGGACTGTACAGCTCTGGGGGGGATGACTGACAGCCGCTCTTGCCCTCTTTTGCAAAGTGGTTTCTCTGCCTCCCAGCATCTCTGCAAGCAGCACAGACTTGAAGCAGCCAGGCACTGGAAACTTAAGAAAGGGGAGGGTGCCTGACAGTTTCTCCACCCCGCCCTGGACTTTCCACAGGGCATCCAGCAATAAATAGTGAACATTCTGATCCTGTGGAGGGACCAGACATTAGCAGCCTCCAGAGAGACATCTCCATGCAGGTCCCTGCCAGCAATAATCTGCCTTCCTGTGAGGAGCCGATCTCGGTTGGAGTGGAAGAACCACGGCTCAAGGGGAAGTTGCACAATGAGTCTGTGGTAGAGCTAGAGAAAGAACCCAGGAGTCCTGAGGTCCGTCCACCCACCCTCCCCCCCAGTCCACTGCTCTCTCGCCACTGGATAACCTTGCCCTCAAAGGAAATGAGAAGTAAATCTTAGTGTAATTTAAAAGGGAGGTTTTGCTCTGAAATTGGCTGTAAAAATGGCCTTTCTCCAATGGAGTCAGCACTCCTGCCAAGAGTTACTTCTAGTTTCTCTTCCTATCCTTGAAGAGTCAACAGAGCTGCGGGAGAGGCAGTCAAAGTCCATTCCTTGAGCGTTGTCACCAGAACGGGGACACCCGGACAAACCGCTGATGCACCGGCATAGGCGTTGCTGCGGGCAGTCGTAATGACCACTAGGGATGCATGAGAAGGAAAGAACCTAGGAGCCATTGTATGCCGTGAGCCTGTTTGATCTGGAGCTGCTGAGAGATGGAGCCACCTTAGAGTCCCTTTTCAAAGAACTGCCCTTTCCCGACCTTCAGCTGTGGGCGTCAGTCTCTGCGGACCTCCGCGGTCGTCTTGCCTGCAGCCATGGGGCTGGGGGAGCTTTGTAGGAGAGCAGCCTGCACAGGGTTGGTATATTGGTTGGCTCAGCCCTTAGCCAGTGCCCTGTTTCCTTTGTGCGCTGTGCCATGTGTTTGAAAAGGCTTTACACACCCCTGAGCTCCTGTCGCACACGCTACCTTGCACTGACTGTGGGTTCAATTGACTTGTCCTGACTGCTGCGTGTGCCCCTTGTGTGGATGCACCCAAATCCGTCTCAGGTAGGCATGTGGCCTAGGTACAATTTGGGTCCTCACCTTTCTGCCAACATTTCACTCTATAGCTATTGCCCTCAGTGTCCCACTCAGTGAAATGGGCGAGCCAGTGTCGGCAGCGACATCTCCCAGGGTGTGGCGAGGACTGAATGATTAATCCCTGGTCCCAGACATGGCTCGCGGTAGAAGTGCCCAGCATCCTTGTTATTTGAGGAGGCGTCTCTGACACTTAGTCATTTTGCTGACTTGTAAATTTCATTAACTCAGCTGTGTCTAATCCCACAGAAACCTTCAGCCAGGCAGGGCTCTCCTCACTGTCTCAGGCCCTGGAGTGCTCACGGCAGGCAGTCTCGCAAAGGCAGAAATAACTCTGCCTGGCCCTGCTCTGAGTAGCTTCTGTTTGTTTGGGTTCTGCACCCCAGTTGGCTGGAGAGCTCTCTCAGATGGGTGCCAGGTCTCCCCACTGTGGGAGTAGCCGTCAGCTGTTGTAGACACCCTACACCAGCATCTGCTTGGATTAGCTGGGCACGCCCTCCCTAAATGTTAGTGTTTGCGCCTGTGGTGAGTCACAGAATGCCTGGGTCTGTCAGCATTTTGGGATTTGCACAGGGAGGATGCTGGGGCTGACGATGGGAAGGAGGATCCCCAGGTTTCTAGGAGCTGTGTGTAGGCTAGCTCTTGCTCTCAGGGAGAGAAACTGGGCGAAGAAGGCGCAAAGCATGAGGAGAAGCAGAGTGCTGATCTGTGACCAGTTTCACCCCGCTGCATACGCCTATTGGGGCATGTGGTGCGGACTCCATGCCTGCCAGCCCTGGGCCCAGACCCCTCCCCTTGAACTCATGTTCCTAATGTGGAGTCTAGGAAACCTAGAGCCCTGATAGCTGCTGAACTTCAACCTGTATCTGCGGCCGATGAGAGCGATGTGAGCCAGTATCCTGGCTGCTTCAGGAAATGGGGCAAGAAACACCCCAGTGAACAGCTATGGAACTACCTGCCCGTTCAGAAGGGGAGCCCTGTTAGTCTGTAACAGGAAAAACTGAAAAAACAATGAATAGTCTTGCAGCACTTAAAAGACTTAACAAGACATGTAGATGGTAGGGTTGCCAGGTGTCCGGTATTGAACTGGGCAGTCTGGTATTTTTGCCTCCTGTCTGATTTAAAAAAAAAAAAAATGTCTGTTATTTTCTGATTCCCCTCCCCCCCCCCGGTCAGAGGTGAAAATCCCGGGTGCTTATCGGGCTTGCTTACCGGGCTCCGCAGGGGAACTGTCCAGCCCGGAGCAGGGAGGCAAGATGGTGGGCGGCCCCCTGCATCCTATTGGGCCCAAAGCCTCAAAAGCGTTCCTAAAAGGGGCCATGCTGGTTTGGTTTATTTTATTTTATTTTATTTTATTTTATTAGCTTAACTCTCGGGGTCCTCTTTTTTTTTTTTTTTCCCCCTCGATAACTTTGGTCTCCCCCCTTTTATTCCCCCTTAACAGAATTTTTTACGTGGTGGGTTTTGTTTGGGGGGCGGGGTAGAGGGGGGGTGTTTAGAATTTTTGGTTAAACCATTTGGCAACCCTAGTAGATGGTGGTATGAGCTTTTGTGGGTACAACCCACTTCTTCAGATGACTGGAGTATTAAAAGTCCAGTCCCAAAATAAATAGGGAATGGGGGGAGGGGAAAGAAGGGGAAATAGTGAATTAGTGTGTCCATGTTACAAGAAGCTGTAAATGAAGTTAAGTTCCAAGGCTTCCCGGTGTATTCTTCCTGGACTCTGTGCGCTGGTGCTGCGAGCCATTAGATGTGCTGTGGTACCAGCCAGAGGCCTGTTGTATTAATTTAGATGGAATAAAGGGGCCCAAAGAGGTAAAGATGTTAACATGACCCCTCCACCTGTCACTGTCCAGTGTTAAAGGAGAGGTGGGTTTGGGCAAACAGAGACCCCCAGCCTGCATAGTAGCAAGGCAAATGCCCCTTCAACAGCCCTTGTAACTTGTAAAACGATGTATTAGAGAGCAAAATGAAGGGAACTGTTAGTAAGGCAGTAAGCCAGGTTGTTATTTCAGCAGCATCCCTTGTTCCCTTTGTTTGCCGGACAGTTATTGGGAGGAAAAGGCCTCGTGTGTGACCGTCTCGTAGATATCGGGGGCGGCGGGGGCGGGGGGAGAACCACTGGGAGGTGGGGGTGGGGAGAAGATGTGAGTTAAGAATGGGCCAGGGCTGTAGGTAAAGCCCAATCTCACTTCCTTGGTGCCAGAACAAGACAAACGCACAAGTGGGGGGAGGAGAGAACAGCAAGGGTAGAAAAGCTTCTGTTTAGGGGGTTGACTATCACTTGCAGGGTCCCGGTTGGAGAAATCCAGGCCCAACGCACGATCTGATCAGCCATGCCAGCCCTGGCAAGCTTGTGCTGACAGCGGGCCGATCAGGGCACTGCTCTGGTCAGACTCCGTGGGGTTCTGGCTGGTTGAGCCCCTCTCTGATTGACAGAGGGAGAGAGAAGGGGAGGAGGGAAGAATAAAGTGGGGAAGGAAAAGGACACCCGAGTGTGTGGGAGGGAAGACAGAGTCACCTCCAAGCTGGGATTTGGGATTCAGCCGGAGCTGACCGTTCCCTCTCTCTGTGGTGGTCTCGTCGGGACATCTCCCGGGATCCGGCAGCCCAGAAGTTGTGGGGTTGGCAGCCAGAACAGTGATGCTCACTCGGTATCCAGTTTTCCCCCCAAAAATCTTTCTTTGAGGACCCCAAAAGGAGCGGTGGGTGGAATAGCACAGACCCTTCTTATTTGGTCCACCAGTTAGACCTGATTGGGTCACTGAATTCTCGTCCCACACTCTGTGTTTCCCAGGCATGAATTACATTGGGAGGCCGTTTTGTTCGGACCAACAATGTCTCTCTTCTGCACCTTTTCCCATCCGCCTGTGTGGTTCTAGGTTGTTGACACCTTATGAACTTCCACCCCTTTTAGTGATGAGCTCCCGGTTAGGGTTCACTTGGAAGCCCAATTATCACAGCAGGCCCTAGCATTGTGTGGTGCATGAACACAGAGAGACGGTCTCTGCCCCCAAAAGCTTCCAGTCTGTCAACAGGATGGAGGCCGTGTGAGGAGGAAATAAACTCCGAGAGGGAAGCATCTGTCCAAGGTCATGTGGCAGATCAGCAGCAGAGATAGAAGCCAGGTGGCCTGTGTCTCCCCCTGGTCACCAGCCCGTGCTGCCTGTACCACGCTGCAGCTGGAGGAGAGTTTGTGTCTCTGTTTTCTGTTTGCTGCAGCTCAAGGCATCAGGGCACCTCCCCACCATTACAGAGTGTCCCCTCGGGAGCAACTTGCTGCTAAGCTGCGGCTGCCTGGTGGCGCTGGAATCCCTCTTGGGGTTTTCCGCTTGCGTCGGTCCGGCGGGCGAACCCCCCT